CCTCCCGCCGGCCTCGGCCTCCACGTGTCCGCCGCCCCCTCCCCCATGCAGCCACCCGGGCCCCCGGACAGAGCGGGGAGGAGGCGGTGGGAAAGGGCTTCCCCCTCGGGCTTCGAGCCCTACGCGGACCAGGGTCTCTCTGAGGGGCTCCGGCAGCCTGCCGGGGTGTCCCGCTCAGAAACCGGCCTGCGGGAGCCGGGTCGGACCCGCCGGAGTCCGGCGGGCTGGGGGTGTGATCAAAAATCACATGTTTGTGTGGGGAGTAACCGTGCTATCAGCCCGCAGTCGGCCCTGCTGGCAGCTCTCCGCTGGGTACGGCAGGGGCTGCCTCTTCACTCCTCTCAGAGCTCGTTTCGGGATGGATGATGGCCCCTTCAGCTGCTCTATTGGCAGAGAAAGGCCCTCAGAAGTGTCTGAGTGTCTTGGTTTAAGCATCCAGGCTCAGGAAGTCGACTGTAAGTGGGCTTCGAAGTGAAAAGCTGATTAAAAACAAAGCAAATTTCCAAAACCAAGCCCTTTTGTGGTTAGCATGGAAATTTCAGTGAAGGACCTATGAGGCTGCAGGCAGAGTGAGAAGTGTTGGTGTCTTGAGGAAGCCTTGCCGTGACAAAACTAGCCCTTCCCTCCTAGGAGCAAAACTCACATCAGGGATACAAAATGGAACAGTCCCTGTCTGATCCAGAGCTGTTGTTAAACCATATAGGGTAAATGTCACGTTTCTTTAGCTAAGCAGTCCGACCATCTAATTTTTCTTTTCCTAAAGCACAGGATCCCTTTCTAGAGGTGGTTTGTATCTTTGGAATCTATAAGCTAGTGAACCTCTTCTGTTCATGCTAGCTCTTCTTCCCCTGTTCCCACCATTGGCTGGGGCTTCTCTCTTCAGTCCTTGTTTCTTTAGTACAAATTTTTAGTGTTTTATCCTCACTGGACTTTGGTGTCAATATTACTGCTGCTATGAAGACCTAGTTATAAACTTGCTTGTCAAAGCCTAGGTACTGTGGGTGCCCTCAGGTCCACCCGTGGGGCTTGTCCACACCCACTGTTCATTGCCCATGGCCATTTCTCTGGGCTATGTTGTGCTGCAGAAAGCCAACCTTGGTTTCTGTTTCTCCAAGGTTTTCCATCTTTTATACCCCATTTGTGATTTGCTTAAAACTTAAGCCCTCTAGCTGCCCCTCAGGAAACTCCTGCTCCCGTTTGAGGAAGTGCACAGAACTTTCTTGAGCTTTAGCTTCGTTTGCAAAGTTTGGCAGGGAGCCTGGGCACGCCCTCTCCCAACACCTGAGCTCTGGCACCTTGTGCAAATAGGCTGGGACTGGCTTTTTATCAGGTCATGGCTGCTTCCCTGGGGTGCTTCTTGCTGCACCCCTCCTTAGGGGTCGTCTTTTTCTCAACCATCTTGAGTTTCAGCCTCCCACTAACCTGAGGGACTCTGTGGAAGTTGGAAAGTCCTGCTGAACGTCCTTGAACTTCATCTGCTAACGTATTTGGCCAGTGGTGCCTGCTACCTGGCGCTTACAGAGGAGGACCACGGCGTGACAGTACTGTGTGAACAGATACCTCGCTGCTGTTGGGCTGTGTGTAGCTGCTGTGTCATGAGATGTGAGAAGACCGAGGTCTTGACTGATTCAGATCCTAAAAACATACATGTGTCTTTATAACACTGATGTATGAGTTGTCTTACTAAATACTAGTTGTATAATTAATAAATTGTGCAAACACATAAATCGCTGTATGTGGTGTTCACATTTCCAAGCGGGGGGGATGGAAAAAAACCCTGAAATTTGATATTGTGCTCTAGTAATGTTTCCCAAAAGAATACTGCAGTGAGGTGCTGCAGGGTACATGTTTAAATATGTACCGAGTAGCCTGGAACAAATTCATCTGTATTGCTGACTCTGCAGCATCAGAAATGCTCGGCTAATGTTTCTAGTCATAAAGTTATTACCAGTTGCCCTGAGCTGCTGAGTTATAGAGGAAAGAAAAAAATAAATCCCCAAACAATGCTGAATGTAGATTTCAACAGTCATGTGGCCAGTAAGAGTGAGTTTCCCCTTCCAGCAATAACAATCATAATAAGCCTCTTTGTATGGATGAGGATGTTACTTTTGGTTTGTATTTGAGGTTTAGTCAAAAAATGCATACTATGTCCCCTTAAGCGAAGAGAAGAGAGGGGAGCTGTTAGTTATTGTTTCTAGGTCTTTCTCAAGTATACAGATACTAAGTTTTGCAGTGTGAGTTTCTTTTATTGGAGAAGACCTAAGTGCTGGCAATTACTTTTATCCCTCTGTCTTGGCTCCCTCTGCCCCCTTCCTAGTGGGGAAGAAATGGGTTAGAGCGTTCGGCTTGCAGCTGTGCCTGCAGAAAAACTCAGCAGTAGCATTTGGACTTATTTTGTATGGATTTCCGAAGAAAAGAAGCAAAAAAGGAAATAAAGTAGCTGGGTGAATTTTTTGTCTTCCGTTTAATGGGGCAGGGATGGGCTTTCTTATATACCTCAGTTTCTGCAGCTGAGATGAGATTAATGGATTGATACCAATGCTGGTGTAAAAATCTTGTGGTAGTACCTTTGGGCTTTGCTTAAGATGGCTCGTTTTCTGTATGGTGGTGAAAGGTTGTCTCTTCCTCTCTCTACCACTTCTGAAAAATTGCAGTACAAAAACCATTACAGTGTATGACAGGCAGCACGGTGTCTTGGGGGCAAGCAGTGGCCCTAAAGCAGTTTCTTAAGCAAGAAATACTTTAATCTGAGGGCAAGGTGCATAAAATGCAGGCTGCTTTATGCTGTGTTGTTGCTTATGGAAGTTTAGCTTTATTTAAGGTTTCTTCTGTGGCTGTTGTAAAATTTAAGTCTTGGAGGCTAGATTAAGCTCAGTGTGTCCCTATTTCATGCTTGCATTGACTCATTTAATAAAGGAAAAAGGAAGAACTGTAAATATTTTTGTCCTGCCAGTGTGACCACTCATGTGAGGTGAAGTTATCCATGGGCACAGGCTTTTGCAAGATGAGACCCGTGCTTCTGTGTGATCAAGCCTTTGGAAATTGTCCATTCCCTGTAGAGAAAATACCATAAGAACGTGTTTTGCAAACTTTTGAAAGCTGACCCCTTTCTCTCCCTCTTTCTTCCCGCCCACCACCATCCTTTTGGGGAAAAGTGAAAACAGCCATGCCTGCTCCTGCACGCCCTACCATATGTTGCAGGGTTACGCACCTTCCTGCCTATGTTTTCTACGCTTCCCTTTCACACGCCAGTTCCCTGCACTCTCCCACTTTGAACAGGGTTGATGTAAATCCTCGCAGTACTTCTCCTTTCTCAGGCAGCTTGATGGGCAGTGGCTTTTCAAGCACTGGTGTCTGGGTTAGTTCCCAGCCTTGTTAAGCTCCTGTCCTGCATGAGGATCACTGCAAACATCTGGGGACGTCCCAGTGCTTGATTCTGCCTGCTCTGTGTTTCGATGTCTCCTTCCACTGTAACTGTAAGGGTTAGAAACATGAGAAGAGGCTATAGGCAAGATCCCTCTCCCTCTGTCCTTATGCCTGAGGGATCTGCAAGAGAGGGCACCACTGTGCTTTGGGAAACAGTGCTTCAGAAGCTGGCGGTGCTGTGAAGATCGTGGATCCCAGCTGTTAGGGGAGAACAAATCCTGCAGCTCATGTTCAGCATCTGAATCATGAATAGTTTGCAAGCAAAATGTGAGAGAGCTCTGCTTGAGCTAGTGCAAAATAGCTTGGACATAGGAAGTTTGACACTTGGATACTGCTCTGCTCTTTAAAGAAAAAAGCAACTGTGTGTTTATGCTCTGTTTTTTTCACAATTTTATGTTTTGTAAAAGTGCTTGCAAGAAAAATGCAATTGCTTCTGTTGGCAGTTTCCAGAAATGCATGCTTTCCTCCTGCACCCAAGAACGTGCTTGTTGCCTCGCTGTCAACACTGATCCTTCCCCATCTGAAGTCTGATTTCTCCCTTTCTCTTCCCCTGACTAGTCTCAGTCTTCATGGCTTCCAGACACGTCGTCTTAGTTCCTTCCCCTGCACCCGCACCCGGTGCCCCCTGCCATGACATTGTTTTTGTGGCTGTCTTTTCTGCACGTCAGTGGAATTTGCAGGTGTGGTAATGGGGGTGAGAGAGGAAATGCATGAAAAAGCTGGAAGTGGAAAACGGATATAAAAGAGCAGAAGAGGTATGAAGGGGAGAGGCAAAAGGCAGAGGGTGAAAGTCTCATCCCTAACTGGTCCTGGCAAGGTAACCAGCCATCTCTCATTCCACTGGTGGAAGAGGAGGCTTGCAGGGAAAGGTGGAGCAATTTTTTTATTTTTTTTTATGGGTAAGCTGGTGCAAGTGTGAAAAAGTAGACAAACTTTTGGGTGCAAAAACACTTTTTTAGGTCTGTTCAGTGTGAATTTGCACAGTGGGTTGAGGCATTTCATTGGGAGGAAGAGAGGCAGAAAAAGCATTTTATTTGCAAAGAAAACTGTTTCTAGGGGTAAAATGCAGTTTGTAACTGCTCAAGTCTAGTTAGGATAGCTTTGTATTACCAGTGTCCATTAGTAATAAGTTTCACATTGTTTGGCCATTACAACTCTTCCTGGGTTTCCTTTTCAGTAACATTCCCTGGGGAAAATGTCTCTCCTGACTACTAGAACAAATGAGGTTTCTAATTATAGGCTTGCTTTGGAGCCAGAAAGTTTAGGTTTGTGTTTGACATGTAGTCATGAAACTTACTTTAAAAAAAAAAAAAGAAACCAACTAAAAATATCCAGTAATGTTTAATTCTTTTTTTTCTTTTTTTTTTTTTTTCTTTTAATCCATTTGGCACTCAGTGGATATTACGGGATAATCATTGTTGCAGCTAAAATACTTGAAAGTTAAGAGTTGAAGGAATGAGTGGGGTAGAGATCCTGTCTATTTTAAGCCCCTGTCACTGTCAGAGTAAACTAGCAGTCCTTACTTTGTGTTTCTGCCTCGCTCTTCTCTCGGAGTGCTTGATGTGGTGTGTGTGTTTCAGTAGCTTGGAAGAGTATGGTGGCTCTTTTGGGGTGAACCCTCAGTCCCCTTCTGGTGTCTGACAGCCTCTGGAGGCAAGATGAGATTTATGCTCTGTGCAGAGGATGTTGATTTCCATACAGGGATTTATCATCACAGCTTATTCTTAGAATCATTATCAGTTTAAATTTTGGGGACCTAACTATATGAAATGGTGACTGCCAACACACAAAAACTGAGGAAACAAGTTTAGGAGTGATGGATTAATGTACTGTCCCAAGAAGAGTTCAAGTCACTAAAACATCTAATGAGTGCTGTTACATTCAGC